TCGTTAAAAATAACACTTTCTTTAAGCTATAACATTCTTTTTGGCATCTAGACCTTTTAATTTATACGTTCCAATAGAGACTGTATTCCTCGCGCATACCATCAATATCAACATTAGCGCTGGCATCGATATCCATATCAAGCTCGATGAGGTCGTTAGCGTCATCGTTACTATTATATGCGAGTGCCTATCACCCGCAGCCGGGTGATCTCGCCCATAAAATCCTGTTAACTTTTCTTCCGTTCCGGAAAGAAGCACGATAAATAATTATCACAGTCTGAACTATACGTCTAATCCTTACTTGCGCCCTACTTGCGGTACACAGCTTACATGGCTAATCTACACACGGCCGCAGTTATACTTCAATATTTCCAAAATATTCAATTCGTCGCTACGAGACTCGTTACATACGTATATGTATAGATATACAGAATGTTTCGGATGTCGTACGCTTTCTCTCAACTACGGACACTGGCGACGCTGAACAGAATATCTCGAAAGTATTTTTCTGGATTGCAAGTCAATTTAAAAGACTGAAAAATTTTAATGAATGAAATGGCAAATGTGCCATTCAAACAGAAAATCTTCTCTTACGTTTAAATCAAGCTTTACATCATAAGTTCTCAATTTAAAGTGTTTAATACTAAAGCTGAAGAATGAATTTTCACGGTAAATTGGTATTTTAAATCCGTACTGAAGAGAGAACGTGCACGAATTCCGCGACCGATATATATATATATGATAAAAAAAATGCAACGCTATAGCGCGAGCGAACCGCGCCCGCAGAATGTACAATCGAAGATAAATTAATTACAATTGTCGTTCGGGTCTTCAACGCGGGACCCATATAGAAGAGGTTCAATCGATATTCACACATTTTAATATTTTTGCCTTTGTACAAAAGAAGAAGCGCGTCTCTTATTGGTCTGGTAATAAAATAGTACCTCGGCGGAGACTCTGCGCGTGGATCGACTCTCGAACGGAGAGGGCTCCTGCCACGCGAGTTCCTTGTTGCACATCAAGATCCACAAGTAATTTTCTTTCCTTTTTCTTTCTTCTCAATTTTTTATGCACCAATATGGTGTACGGTTTAGACACTCAGGCTCTAAATAATACCTGGCCGAGTTTTACCCGTTTTTGTCGGACATTCGTCCGGATTCATCTCGAAACTAAAATTGGCTGTTCGCCGTTTCTTACTCGTCGTCGAAGTCGTTTTTGTACTGTCCAATTCGACCTCGCGCCGAAAACATGTCAGCGTGCAAACGCATATATTTAAAACGCACTTACAATTCGTATCGCGTCGTACACTTAAAATGTTTTTAGAGGCCGGCTGTTAATTTCGTTCACGGTGTCATTTCGAAGAATTCAAGATTTAATAAAAAGCCTACGAATTACCGAGTTCATGTCTCAGCGATCTACCGCATTATCGCAAACGCACCGCACCTTCGAGTCTAAGCGCATGATCCTGAAAGTTCAGCTTCGTCGTTCGCAAACCGCGGTCTATCGCAAACGCTCGAACGCTCGACACCTCTCATCACGCTTTCGACTCGCATCGTCGTCATCCGTCCTTAGAGTTCACCAGAGAACGCGGCACGCCCACGACACGCAACGAAAACGGTCCTAATGCACGTATGCGTTCGTTCTCACGACATTACGCTCATGCTTCTCTCTCGTTCTCTCTGGTTCTCTCGCTTCACTGGGTCCCGCGGGTCGCCTTACTGTCAGGGTCTGACGAGAGGCTTACCTCCGTAGGGAGCGGGATACTGCCCCGTCAACAGGGGATACCCTAGGCCCACGTGAGTGTGATGATGCGTGTGCACGTGTCGCTGTGGAGGCGGCGATCTGTTGTCCTTGCCGAGGTTGCCGCCGCTGGCATCCACCGCGCCTTGCTGCTGCTGCTGGCTACCCGGTTGACCCTGCTGCTTGCCGGACGGCTGCTGACCCTGGCCCGGCGGTGGGCCCGGGCCCGCAACCGACGTAGGCGGGCCGCTAGGGGGCCGGGCAGGGGTCGGGCCCGCCGAAGACGGGCTGGCGGACGCCGCGGATGTCTTGGGCGTCGGTGACTTGAGCGCGCGCTCCTGGAGCTCGTGTATCTTGTGCGCCGAGTAATACTGATTGGCGTGATGTTGGAGCAAGTCCAGCGCTTTGCCGCCGGGTGGCCGACTGAGGTCCTCCGGCGCGTGATACCTAGGTAGCTGGTGGAGATAGGGGTTACTCGAATACGGACCGGGTACCAGCATGGGGCTGAGGCCGCGGTAGACCGGGTGACCCGGATCGAATGGCAGCGCACCGTAGTGTTGTGGCTGCATGTAACTGGGATGAATGTAAGCGTACTGCGAGGTAGGCGGCGGCGGTCCCTGAGTCTCCATCGTCGGCTTTACGCCCTCCTGCTTGCTCTTTGAGTCTTCGCTCTTTCCGAGATCCTGTGGTTTTTCCTGCTTCGGCTGATGTTTCGGACTGGGCGGTGGTGCCTTTGCTTGTTGGCTCTGTTTATTTGCTTCCTCTTTTCTCCTTTGTTCACTCGGATACAGGTAATACCTTCTGTCGTCTTGAACAGGTCCCGGAGGAGGTGGCGGCGGTGCCGCTCGTTGACTCTGCGAGCTGTGGTAAACGTGGTACGGACTCATCTGACTCTTCATCTCGATGCTCTCCTTCAGTATCTGATGGTTCTCGTGCTGCTTGTCTTTCAGACTCGGCTGTGGCTGTGGCTCTTGCTTAATCTTGGCCTTTTGCTCATGCGGCTCCTGGTCCTGCGACTGCTGACTCTGTTGTTGCTGTTGCTGTTGCGAGACTGGCTGCGGTGGCTGGTAGGCATAGCCTGACGGCATATAACCACCGTAACCGCCATAGTAATGCGGCTGCTGCTGCGGCTGCGGTAACGGTTGACTTAGCTCCTTCTTCTCTTTTTCCGACACGACGCTCTGTAAGCTCGCCATCGAAGGCATCTGCGGTATGTTAAGCGGTTTCATCTCCTGCTTGGGCGTAAGATCGCTCGGCTTCTGGTCTACCACCGGCTTGCTGTCCGAAACGTTGGACACCAGATAAGGTGACTGACCATAGTACGGGTACATACTAAAGTGCGCGGGCAGATGCGCTGGCGCCGTGGCCTTGTTGTCCTTTTCCTGACTCTGCTTGGACTTGTCCACCGGTTCGGCCTCGAGCACCGGCGCCGCGTCGTCCGATATGTCCGAGTAGGCCGGGCTTTGTACGTCATCACGCGCCGAATCGACGATCGGCGCCTCGAGGGGCGATGGGTGCGGGCTGCCGCCAGGCGATTTTCGCGACTTCTTCTTGTAGCCCTGCGGCTTGGAAACGCGCGCGTCCGCGCTTGTCTTGCTCTTGTCCTGTTCCGGCATTAGCGCAGCCGTAGGTTTTACTTTGAACTGTGGCATCTTTGCCGCGGCGGCATGTAACGATACCGCAGTCGGGTACTGTTGCAAGTGCGATTGTACACCCTGACCCGGATGACTTGACGGTGGCGGTGCCGCCTGTAAACCCGCTGCTTGTTGCGACACCTGGCTCGCAAGATTCTGTAAACCTGCGTGCTGACTGGCTATGCTTTGTAGACTGGCCTGTTGCTGTTGCTGCAATCCAGACGGCTGCACCACGTGAGCCTGCGCGGGCTGGCCCAGTTGAGCCGACAGGGGATGCTGCACCGTTTGCAACTGATGCGCCGGCGGCAGTTGTTGTTGAACCGATGACTGCAGTTGCTGCTGCTGTTGCTGGCTGCCAACGCCAGGCTGTAGCTGTTGTTGCGGCGGTTGGCCGACTTGTTGCAACGACTGCTGCGCTTGTTGCAGAAGAGAATTCTGCGATTGATGCGACTGTTGCATCTGAGACGGCTGTGGTGGCTGCGGTATATTGAGGGGTTGGGGGATGTTCGTGCTTGGATGCGGCGAAGGCACGGGCCTGGGGGACTGACTGGGATGCGGACTGGGACTCTGGGGCGGGTTCGATGAGCCTAACGACGATTGATTTTGTTGTTGTTGCTGCTGCTGTTGCTGCTGCTGCTGTTGTTGCTGTTGCACAGATTGCTGCTGTTGCCTCGATGGCGCCGTAGAAGTGGGTGCTGGCAGATCGTCCTGGCCGAACCTGAGTACGCCTGGCTTGACAATACTTTTGTCCGCGAGCACAGGCGTGGGTGGTTCTATGCTGGGCGATGGGACCCGCGGGGGCGGCGGCGGCGTTTCCGGTGGCAGTCCCGCCGCCGGCGGACTCACCGCTCTCACCGGCGTTCCCTCGGGCTTGTCCGCAGGCGACTTTACTGGTGTAGCAGGGCTCGGTGCCTCGATATTGCTCTCGTCGTTCTCCGACATACTTGTAATGCCCTCCTTCGTATCGTCGTCGTCGGCGGAACCGTGTGCGTGACTCTGGTGATACTTGAGCCCGTTGATGTGTTTGTACTTTTTACTGCAGTTCGGCTCGGGACACTCGAGCAACACTGGACTAGCGGGTGGCGAGCCGCTGGGCGGCGTCGGCGGCGGTGCCCGTCGCTTGTTCTTGTCCTGCTCCTCCTCGGGCCCGCGAGACTTCCGCTTCGCCGCCGGATCCGGCCGCGGCGGTACAAATGCCGCCGGACTCGGGCTGGCCGCTGGTGAACCCTGCGCGCCCCGACGACCCTTGCCGCCGTTGCGCAGCTTGCTGTGCACGGAACTCCTCGTCTCCGTGAAGTTGCTCAGGTCGTTGCCGGGCGTGGAGTTGGCCGCGGCACGGCCGCGTTTACCGCGACCCTTAGGCGTGCGGGCATCCAGGTCGCTGGTCGGCGAGTCGCAGAAACGTGGCGGCGCCCAATCGTGACGCGTGCAGTCCAACAGGGTCCCGACGTACGTTTTACCCCGCCACGTAACGTTCACCACTAGTACACCTGCAATAGAAAGAACGTCGTCATTTTTATGATCGGTAGAAGCGATTTTTCGAGCCCCGTAATTGCCTTTTATACTGATAACTTAGAAACAAATCAACAAGCTCGTTTATAATTTCCAAATCTGCTGTGGGATCTCTGCTATATAAATAAGTAAAATATCTAATGTTTTCACTTAGCTATTGGACTCGCTATGGTTCTTTACGGCAATTTTTCGTATAATTTGTTAAATTTTAAAGAATTATGTATTTTTTTTTCGAATCTCCATGAAATAGATTCCAAATAACATAAATTGATGTTAAGACTTTCTTAATTTGTATTTGTTGTGTGACATTATTTTATATATACTACTGTAGAAATAATAAATCTAAACAGTCGTGCTTCCTCTCATTTATCAGCAATTTCTGATAAAAAAAAACTTATGCATGCCGCAACTTAGCGCAATAACGCTCAAAGTGATTCGGTGTTGAGCGAAAGAAATAGGTGAAGAGGAAAGAAGGCGACGAGAATCTCGCGTGTTCAACGAAGAAATACAGCTGTATATCGCTTCGCTGACGGAACAACGCGTAAAGCTACGGGCGAGGGAAAAACCGGTCCTAAAATACGGCGGTTTTAACCCCCGGGGGCCCCTCGAGCAGTTTCATCGCGTAATAAGTTTCGTGGCAACCTGTGACGAGCTAACTCGCATCTGTCTCCCTTCTTTCCTCTTCGTTCTTGCGCGATCAGCGCCGCTAATTGAAAATATCTCGCCCGTGCACGTGCAAGAAAACGCGCGGCGCGTTCGCAGGTGATCTCGACGATGATTCTGCATCAGGTGTTCCCGGCCGCGGAACTCCCGTTCCACACAAAGTGCGCGGCTAAATTACTTTCGCGTTCGCGTAATAGAGAGAGTCGAATCGGCGTAAATCGAATTGGCACCACGGGGCGCCGCACCAGATTCAAATGTCAAAGCTTCGGGGGAACGAGCGACGTGATCTGCGAGCGAGTGAAAGGGATAGTTTCACATTAACGTTGTTCTTGGAACGTCCGGCTCTTCATGTCGTGAAAGTATTAATTGTAAAGCTTTAAAAAAAGAAAGAAATCTAAGAGAATTGGCTCTTTTGAAACGACGAGACCGTTAAAATTGACCGAGAAAAGATAATTTAAATGCGTAATACTCCGGCCGGAGATGAGGCTGAGTTCATACGACGAGAAAAGACTTTTATTTTCATCGCTCGGATTAACTCTTTCTTCGGGAGGCAATTCTCTCCCGATGGGGTATCGTTTAAAAATAGATACCTCCGTCCGGGATGAAAACGTCCGTGGAAGATCGCCTCGAAACGAGCCTCGTCGTTTGCATCTGCGAGGTTCCCTTCGCGGACTCGAATCGTGAATCGAGAACCGAAAATAAAGGAGCGAGCGGCGCGGCGACCTGGGGGAAAAAAATAGAGGCGCGCGCACAAAGAGAACAATAAAAACAGCGGAAGTTCCAAGGCGACCGAAGTTCCTAAAAGCCACATGACACCCGTGTTTCTCCTCCATCTGTCAGACACACGTCTCGCTCTTTTTCTCTCCCGTCTCGAGGACGAGAGACGAGATGTCTCGTTGTTTCTTTCTCCAACCCGCGGCGTGCCCCCTCGTTTCGCTCTGTTTCTCTTCTCCCTTCCTTCTCGGCCGCGCGGCAGAAACCTCGGGGGCATTTTGGTTGATTGAGTCGTCCCCTCGCGCATCGACGTCATTCCCATTTGCCGCGAAAGATAAACGTATATGGGCGAGCACCGGGGGATGATGATAAATCCGCGCGTCTCACCCCGGTCATGTGCCTTTTCATTCCACCCGTTTCGTGGCAACACGAGCCTCGTTTCCCCCGTCCCTCCGAACTAGCGCTGATTTCTTCTATTTTTCTTCTTTCACCCTTTCTGAACTTTAACGCCGGTCGAATGCGCGGAATGACCAAATTACCTTCTAATAATTTGAAGAGGGATTCAGTTTCACGTCGATACACATTTTACTTTGAACAAACTCGTAGTAAAACTGTTACTATTGAAACTGTGCCGTCGAAAAAGAATTAGTAAGGGCAATTGTTACATGAAGAATGAAAGAATCAACTGTATCTTTCGTGTCATCTCTTACGATGTTTCCTCCGGCTCTCTTACATGATAATAGCTATCGAATGAATTCATCTTCGAGTTTCACATTCGGCCTCGCAATTGTCTTCTCATGGAGTTAATAGAATCTTCCGCGATACGGTAAACGAATAATCGCGCGTTTCGCGAAGAGATTGCGGTCGCGGCAGCTGCTCGCCGAAGTCACATCCAAGCATTATTTGTCCGTCGCTCGCTTGCCGCGAAGAGACGCGGGCGTCGCCGTCACCGACCTGGGTTTCCTCTTCCTGAAAGCCGGCGGACGATAAAAGGGCTCTTTTCCGAAGCGGGAGATTTGCGGTCGCGGTCGAAGGAAACCCGGGGAACCGCATACGGAGGACGAGGAGGAAAAGCCGCGCTGTCGCGCAGTAAAACGACGAGTTAATCTCTTCTCAAGCGATATCGCGCGTTGCGGCGATATCTCGAAGCCGGGGAAGAGCTCTCTTGGCTCCGCGTCGTTATAACAGCTGTCACGTGAAATCACGTCTGGTGTTAGCCGCCCTCTGAGCGACGACAATCGCGGTCGTTGCTCTAAAACGAGAGATTGCTTTCGGGTACACGAGCGGGATTTCTCCTCGCACCGAAAACTCGTCACAGCGGAAGTCTCTTCCGAGACTCGAGCGTGCCTCGTTTATCGATGTGCCGAGAGAAGCATTAAATTTCGAGAGAGCGTGCGCATTTCACGTCTAATCCGATTTTGACGGATTTTAGTGGAGAAAAATCGCGTCGACAAACGCAAAGATAAAACAAGTACCAGCGAGTTTTTGACATATTATTTATAGCATTTGCTCGCCGTGCGATCGCCGAATTAAAAACACGATAATTTTTTATCGTAGTGTGCCAGATGAGCATTTCAACTCGTAAAACAAAATAAAACAAAATTTAAATTTAATACTGGACATTTTCAAATATAATACCATCCATAAATTTTATTTTAAATATTGTATTTTAAAAATAATATTGGAAATATCCGACTATATGTTATGTGGAGGAGGAGGAGGGATTAATAGTTGCAACATGGTCGGATGATATACCGATGATATCGCGCGCTCGATAAAGTCCGCAAAGCAGAACGAAGCGGAACGAAGCGATGCAGCTGCCAGGCGAAACGTGAAATCACGGGGCAGCGTTATTTGTCCTCGCCGAATGGCGGTCGCCTGTGGCGCCCGGAGACAACATCGACCGAGATCAGTCTGGAAATAAGTGGATTTTCTTTCGGCTTCAGAGAGCTGCTCGCAGTCGCGACTGCGAAGGTCTTTCAGAAACGAGATGTATTCAAGATCTCCTGCAGATGGAAGAAGTGGAAAAAGATACGCGTCCTAGAAGTCGCGTCTTTTCTTCCCGACATTTAACCTATTGTATAAGATTCTTCGTGAAATTTGCAACAAATGTCGATATTATTGTGTCACATAATCCGATAAATATGTACGAAGTAATATATACGGAACACATAGATATTAATTTTATTTTGTAGCAATATAGCACCGATCTTTTATTGAATGCAAATTTAATTAATATGTTAAAGGACTTCCATAAATTATATTTTAATTTTGTAAATAGAAATTCTTATTTACGCGAGAACTAAAAAGTTCAAAAGTTCAAAAATCTATTTTTATGATAATATCTATCATCCAATTTTTACAAACGAGCAGATATTCCGAATTCGTTAAAGAGCCTGCAGTATCGGCAAGAAGCGACATCCAGTAGGCGAGATAGAAAGGGCAGATTGTAAGAGGAGGAGACCTAAGAAGGAGCAAGAGCAGATTCCGCCGAGGTAAAGCGAGAGATGTTCCGAAGATCGATAACAAGCTGTATAACTCTAGCTTCCTTCCACGGGAGAGAGAGAGACTTCTCTCTTTCTCCCCTTCTCGCTTCTCTCTCTTCTCTCATCCTTCTCCTTTCCCGTCTCCTCCTCCGTGCCCGCCCTGTCGCGTCTCCGACAAGCATCCTTTCATCAACGTCTCTGTGATCCAACTAAACTACCCTGACATCGACAAAACCAGGTCCGATGGGAGATAGACGCCTTTACGATATACACCTCGCTCACGGTGGTATCTGTAATTGTATTAGTGGCTCGTTCGTGCAGCCTTCTCACAATCTCGTGTAATGCTTTTCTGTACAAGAGTACAAGATATCCGGAACGTGCTCATGAGATATCACACGGATCAGATTCTTAAACATGGATATAAATCCTTCGACAAAATAAATTCTTTGGTTTTAACTACTACAATTAACGTCAGAATCAAAATACGAAAGCAGAGTAATTCCAAAATTATGAAAATTGTGTTTTCGTACTAAATAGCTTAATCAATAAAGCAACTTTAATTTTTATTCTTTCTTTTTAATTTGTTTACCGAGACGCTTGAAAGAATAAACAATAAGTTTGGAACGAAAGATTAGTATTAAAATAAAAATATTAAATTAAAATAAAATTTGGATAAAAAAGTTTACTTTCTTGGTGATTGAAGGTGACCACATTACGGACGCCAACACGCAACGAAAATGCGTGTTATTGCGCGATACACGTTATCGGCGGTTTAGTACTTCTGTCGGCCGATCGGCGGTCATTAGTTACACGCGCACGCACGCATAATTACACATTCGCGAGTATGACATTTATTGCCGGAGATTAACCTGTTAGCTTCGCGGAATTATTAATGTGCCGCGTTTATAAAGCGGGAGATGTAAATCGGGGCCGATCGACGGAGGGCGGGCGACGCGGCACGCCGCGAGTCGTCGTCATCGTCGCCGCGCGCGCGCGGCGTGCAAATATAACTCGTTTGACTTCGTTTGCTTATCCACGCGTGTCGAATGCCTTACGTAATTACCGAGCGCGTGGCTCGCGTACACGCGAGAAAGAAATCGCCCGCCTTCTTAATC